GTGCCCGTGCCGAGCCGTGCTGCTCCAAACCGGACCGGGAGGAGGAAGAGGAGGAAGAGGAGGAGGAGGAGGAGGAGGAGGAAGAGGCATGGTGCTGGTGCTGCAGCATCTCCTCACCGCCCTCCTTCAATTTTTCAGACGGGGCCAGCAGGTTTTCCTGAAGGTGGAGGACGCCGTGCCCGGCTCCGAGGCGCTACAGGTAGGGACGGGGACAGCCCCCCCCCATATCTTTAACCCCCCCCCCCCGGTGTCCCCTTGGGTCCCCAAAACTCCCCTCCCAACCGCGCCCCCCATCCCAGCCTCCCCACCCTTCCCATTCGGGACCCCCCGCCCCGTGCGCCCCCCCCTCCTGTGTCCCCCTTCCCACCCGGGACCCTCCCTTCCCGTGCCCCCCCGACCCGATTACCGGGGGTGTCCGGTGTTAAAAGCGGGCAGGGATTTGGTGGGGGGGGGATGAGGATTAATGGGGGGGCGGTGGAGCCGCGGGTCCTGCTGGAAAAGCCGGGGCGGGACCATGCGGGGCCGGGACCCCCCCGTGCCGGGGCCGGGCCGGGGGCTTCCCCCCCCATCCCCAAACCCCCGGCGGGGTCTGTGCGCCCCCGACAGCTTCTGGAGTCCTGAACCGCTCCGGGGGGGGGACACAGGGGGTCGTGCCCGGTGGGGAAACTGAGGCACGGAGCTCGGGACCGGGCGGGGAGCAGCAAGGACCCCCCCATCCCCGACCCCCTCCCGGGCGCACAGGGTGGGGAGCGCGCCCCCGGGCAGGCACAGGGGCAGCGGTGCCCCCCCCAAAGGGGCTCGGGGACGCGCCGGGCTGCGCGCCCCCCCCACTCTGCCCTTCCTGCGGGGAGGTGCGGATCCTGCCGGGCCGGAGGAAATGGGCTGGCTCCGGGGGGGGGCGGCCCCAGCCCCAGCCCCTGCCCCTACCCCGGCCCCGGTCCCGGTCCCGGCGGGCCCGCAGCGCCCTCCCGCAGCCGCGCCGGGAGCCGCCGCCACCGGGGCCGCGCCATGGGCACCCTCCAGGATTCTGTAAGGCCGGGGTCTGGGGGCTCTGCCCGGCCACCCCCCACCCCGAAATGGGGGCTCCGGGGTTGGGGGAGAAGGGTGGGGAAGAATTTGGGGGGGTCCCGGGGGTCGCCGGGCTCCGGGATGGGTTTGGGGGGCAGGGGGTGGGGGGTGGGGGGCATCCCGTGCGTTTGCGGTGCCGCTTTGGGGTCTGGTGCGTCTTGGAGAGGCTGGGGGGGGGGGTTGGGGTCCCCGGCTCTGCGCTCCCCCAGGCTGCTCGGTGCCCGGCTGGGGGCAGGCAGCGTGCCCACCGTGGGGCTGACACCGGGGTGGCTGTGCCAGGATGGAGCAGGGGGGCACCATCGGGCCCCCCCAGCAGCGCCGTGCCCCAAATCCTCCCTCGCACGCAGGTTTTGGGGGCAGGATGCGGCCTGGGTGAGGAGGATGGGAACACGCACCCAGATTTAGGGCAGCTCGGGGGGTTTTGCTCCAACCCTGAGCCCTCTGCCCCATTCCCAAGCGTCCAGGGCCGGGTTTCCTGACCCCAAAGCCCGGCACCTTGGTTTGGGTACGGGCACCGGGGCCGTGGGCTCGGTGTCCCCCTGGCTGCTGCCGGAACGAGGACGGGAACGGAGGGTTTTGCCCTGTGAAAAGAGGGGCAGGAAACAAAACGCGCTGCGGGAAGCCACCAAAAGCTGCTGACGGAGAGAAAGGAACCGGGAGGGAAAGGCCAGCAGCACCGGCCAGCGGAGAGGGACCGGGGTCGGCACGGTTTTGAGGGGTTTTGAGCCTGGGGACATCAGAGCTGTCACCCAGCAGGGACAGGACGAGCGATTCCTCTCCATGTTTGGGGTGAAAGGATGTGGTGTGGGGTCTCCGGTGGTCCCAAACCCCCAGGACCCAACCTGTGCTGCCTGTGGCGCATCCGTCTCGGTTTTTTGGGGACGGGGGACACGGGACGGGCAGAGCTGCCTCTCCTGGTGGGCGATGCTGCAGCAGCACGAGGTGAAGGGACCGGAGCGGGGCCACGGAGAGGTGCGTGGCGAGGGGGGGGACACCGCTCTGCTGCCCTACACGGGGACACCGCGTCCCTCCTGGGCTCACCGCGGTCACCAGCGGTGCCAGGCCGGTGGCGCTGGCTGCTCTGGGACCAGCAGCCCCGAGCTTGGAGCTGTGGGGCTGCGTCACCCTTGGGGTTTTTTATCTTTGTATGTCCCCCCCACCCCACCCCGAGCACCCCGCAGTGGGGTGAGGCCGCTCTCTGCGTCTCCACTGCTGCCTCCTCTCCCTGCCTCCTCTCTCCCAGGCAGCGGCCCCAATGCAATTACCCGCTGACTGGCCCATGAATCAGAGCCTAATTGATACGTGTTCGCAGCCTGGCCGAGCAGGAAGCCAACCGAGGGGGGGGGGGCTGCACTGACCCACCGCTGCTGCACCCGCGCTGGGGCTGGGGGGGCCACGGCGCAGCTCCAGGGCATGGGGCAGCCGCGTCCCCGCGCCCCCCGGCCACCCCATCCCACTTTGGAGACACCAATCCTCAGGGCGCACGCCTCTCCTGCCTCAGTTTCCCCATCGGGATGGGTTCTGGGGGGGCACAGGCTGGGTTTGCGGGGCGGGGGGCCATGCGTGTGTGCGCGCAGGCCGTTTGTCTCGGCGCGGCCGCCGTTTCCTCCCGCTGACACAAACACATCAGCAGGGTAATAAAGGGGAGGAAAGGGCCGCGGCGGCCGCGCCGCACAATGCAGGGGCGCTTCTTTCCATGACGTGCGACGGGGGACGGCTTCCTCCCCTCCCCTGCCCTGCTCACGGCCCCCACCCTGCCGTTTTGGGGGGGCACAGCGGGACCCCCAAACCGGAGCCGGGCTGGGCACCCCCTGGTTGTCCTTTATCCAGGGGGTCCCACATTTAAAAGCTCGTTCTGCGTGTGCAGGATCAGCCCGTGCCACCTCGGTGCCCGTCCCCGGTGCTGCTCGTTTGGGGTCGTGGCTCCCCAAAATCCCCCGTGTCCGTGGGGTGAGGTGCGTGAAGTCCCCGGGGATGTCACTGCCACCCTCTCGTCAGCTCCTGCGCCAACCCCGTGGGTCTCGGTTCTCCTGGGGACATCCCCTGGGCTCCCCGTCCTCCTGTGCCCACAGTCGGGGTTTTTGGGCACCTCCGGGTGGGTTTTGGGTTCAGGGGCTGGTTGGGGGGAGCCCAGAGCCTGGTTGGAGCTGCCCCGGGCGCACCGGGACGAGAGGAGGATTTGGGGCAGTGGCTTTGATTTTTGGTGTTTGCTGGAGGGGAGGAATTTCTCATGCTGGAGCCGGCACCAGCATCATCCTCACGGGCACAGCGACTGCTCCCTGCCCCCAAACCTTGTCCCTTTCGAGCTGAGCTGAGATATTTGGCACGGAGGCGACGGCACGGGGCCCTGCCCGCAGCGGGGACGACCCTGGGGGGCTCAGGAGCCCTTGGGGGGTTCATAGGGCTGGATCCATGTTTCACCTGAGCATCCCCAAAATGTGTTCTGGAGCTGGGGGGGGGGCAGCAGCCTCCTCTCAGGGGTGGCTCTGAGCTGGTGGCATCCCCAACCCGGCTTCCCCACAGTGCTGGTGGCCAGTCCCCAGGAGGATGTGTGGGGTTTTTGGGGGTCACGGGGCTGCCTCCTGACACCCCCTGTCCCCTGTAGGAGCGGGTGAGCCCCAGAAGTAAAAGGGGAGCTGCATTGGGTTCGTGAGGGTGCCCAAGGTGGGCGTTTTCACCCCAAAAAGAGCCCTGCCAGGGAGCTCCGTGTCCCAGCCCGTGTGGATGGAGGGGGGCAGATTTGGGATCCCTCCTTAGATTTCTCTCCCTCGCCTTCCCTTCGTGTCCCCCCCGATCCTTCCTCACTCCATCCTCCTCCTCCTCCATCCAGCTGGGCGCAGGGAGGGAGCCAGGCAGGGCTCGGCTGCTTTTCTGGGGCAGATCTGCGGGTTTTTGGCTGCGCTGCTCCGCTCCCGGCCCTGGCCTGGATTTAAGGGGTGACTTTGGGCTGCGCCTCAGCTCCCCCCCCCCCCAAATAATGCAACTCCTGCAGGTTCATGGGGTCAGACACCTCCGGGTTGGACCCCGCAACCCAAACCCCTAAATATATGGAAAATAAAAGATTATTTGGGAGGGAGGAGCAGCTTTTCCATGCACACGGAGCAACGGTCCCGAGGGTGGTGCCTGGTCCCCACCGAGCTGGGCAGCGCTGGCACAGCCCTGGCCCCCCGCCCCCCAAAGCCCATGCAGGTACTGCTTGGAGAGCTGCCCCAAATCGAATTCCTCCCTGGCTGCAGATGGCCAGCAATTAAATTTCCCCAGTTCAATCAGAGGCTGGTAAATGAGCTCCCTAATCACCGCGCAGATCCCATTAGTGCCGGCTGGGGACGTGCGAACATTTCCCCCCCCCCCCCTTTTCCTGCGCCGCTGCCCGAACCCCCTTTTGGGTCCCTCTCCATGCCCATGTGCTGCATCACCCCATGGGCTCCGTGCGCACCCCCAAGGTTTCCTTTTGGGGTCTGTCCCAACGCCCTCCCTGCTGGGCACCCTCATAGCCAAAAGCCCCGTTCCCGGTTGGGAACACGGGGGGGCCACCAGCTCCTCGCCACGGTGGCCCTCTGGCGAGCCCAGCCACCAGCAGGGTGTCTTGGAGAGGCGCTCGGTGGCAGCCCGGGAGGCGCAGGCTGCTGGTGGGGACAGGAAAGGGACCGGGTGCCAAGGGGGAGCCTTCCAGGAACGCCGCGTCCCGAGGATGCGGCGCCAGCACCGTGCCCGGCTCTGCCACCCTACAAAGGGCTGGCACCAACGCGGGGGCGCACGGGTGTCTGCGTCTCCCCGGGGACAAGGATTTTGGGTGCCAGGGCTGCTGCTAATTAACGGGGTGGGGAGGTGGAGAGGGCTCCGTGCTCAGGGATGGAGCTTGTGCTCGCTGCGGGGTGCCGCGGGGAGGGCGCGTGGGGCTGGTGACACCCGTGGGGTGAGGTGCAGGAGGGTTTTAGGGACTGGTTGTGCTCTCCCTCTGCCCTGGCGGCTGCGAGGTGGGAGCCACAGCATCCCCCGGGGGCTGAGAGCCGGAGGGGGCAGTTGTAGGGCCAGCAGCACCAGGGCTGGACGTGTCCCCAGCCCACCAGGCGCACAGCTCCACCGTCTCGCCCCACAGCCGGCCCCGCTCCCCTTTCCCCCATCCTCCGG